AAAGATGTACTCTCTTGCTGCCTCAAATTTCTAGCGAATAAGGCTCGAAGATCAGAAGTCCAACCAAAGAAGCCCTTCCATTCAGTATATATACACTTTTATGACATGATCAAGAACATAAAATAAAATGAGTTAATTCATCGTTCAATTGCAGGGGAAGATTCAAAGAAATCAAGTTTATGCTCGTATAGACAATGAGACAATATCATTCGTCAATGAAATCAGGACTGCTTATCCTTATTCATCCAAACAAGAAAACAAAACAGTTGATGTGACACAACCTAAGAAAAAAAAACAAGTAGGTATATAGTCTAAAAGAAGTTTATGTTAGTCAGCATCAGACAAAGGATACTAAGCAACGCATGATAACACGACAATGTGGAATTTAATGACAAAACAGAACATCATCAAAATATTAAATATCAATAAAATATTTCATTACAAATTCATTATTGAAGTTTTAGCTTCCAAGGATTGCTGGCCTTTCTGAGAACAGAGAACCAAAATGAAATAGCAACACGCATTGCCAGCCATCATAAACACCGACAAAATATAGCCAAGGGATCACAAACCAACCCATTCGTGACGAAAGGGTAAAATCCACATTGACCTCAGCCTCTGCCTCATCAGTGAGATAACAATCTAGAGATATCACCAATCAATTCAGCCAGACATGTATCACTACGTTGTGCACACTAAAAACACAATTCAATAAATGAGGGAGAATTCAAGCTCTCGGTGAATTCACCCCGACAGAGTATGGATTCTACAATGTTTACGGCAACAAGCAATTAGCAATCTCTACAAAGTTGCTAAAAAAAAGTGTCTTCCAGTAAACAGTGGTAGAAGAACATTACCGTTTGAGTCCTCTGAATAGCCACAGCGCTATCGCCAGACTCGCGAGATACTAATACGCTAGGTATTAAGCTTTTCCAGCCGCTCTCCACGACAGACTTGGCCTCGACAGTGCCACGGACAACAACTAGTTTGTTGCCATCTTGGGAATTGCCGTCAGCATCGGAACTGTCCAGAAGTGACCGGAGGTCAGAAACGGAGAGAGAAGGGGCGACGCGTAGCTTGTCGAGCAGCAGAGTTAGCAGTAAGTTTGAGGACGGAAGGACAGCGGCATACGCCAAGGCAAGACCCAAAATGGCGCCGTCGAAGGACAAGGCTAGCGGGGAAAACAGGGACACTAGGGCTTGCTCGTGAGAGGACATCGCTGGAAATCGGCGTGAGCATCCCGATTCCCCAAAAGTGTGTGAATCCGATAATATCCCGCCGTACAGCAGGATTCGCCGGAGATGGAGAAAATGGCAGGTGGCGCTCAACGTCGTCGTTTAGCGGTGAAACTGAAATGATGGGTTATCACCGCATTGCAGAGAGGAAGGATGAAAACTTTTCGAGAGAGACGATAGTGACGTCGGTAACTCTTTGCGGGGCCGTCTCTATACCCACTTTGTTAAACTAAATTGCTTTGGTTCGTGCTTTTATAACAAAAAAGCAAAAAGTTGAGGCATTGTTACATATATATTTGTCATTAATTCTCCCCATATATTTAATTTTATCAAATTTTTTGATTTAATTATTTAATTTTCTTATAAAACAATAATAAATCAATTAAATGACCCGAATTCACATTTTATTGAAATAAAAATAACATTATGGATTTTAATTTAATTAATTGATTGATATTTTTATATATTTCCATTCTTTGCTTCATTTGATTTTTACTTAATATCTTAATTGATGTCTTAAATTTACCTCTTTTAATTTATTTTTATTCTTTTTTTTAAATAATTTTTTTTTATTTTATTGATTACTCACATAATCTTTTTCTAAGCATTTAAATTTAAGCGTAATTTTCCAAAATTTATCGTAATGAGGGATTGCCATAATTCATTTGCTGCATTCTTGAAAAGGAATTGCCATTAACAATCACATCTATATGATCAAATTTCAAGAAATAATTTAAAAAAATAAAGAAACTTAATAATTTATAAACAAATTCAGTTTTTAAAAAAAAAAAACTATAAAGAAAAGTAGTAACAACTAACAAACTAATACGACAAGCAAGATCGCACCTGTAGCCTCTCTTTTAAAGGAGAGTTTATATATGTTAAAATAAATTTATCTTAAAATAAATTTGAGAAATTTCTTATCCTTTTTATCTTTACTTGGATTCGACAAGTGATTGTGATATATAAAACGGAAGAGGAGAGAGGAACAAGGAGAAGAGAGGGGAGAGAGAGAGATAGGAACAGAGATGTTAAAACTCTCAAAAACACTTATTTAATAACACTCAAAAGTTAAATACAAATAAAAAAATTTAACTTTATTTATATAGATCTAAAAATAATAAAATAATAATAATTTAAATTTAAATCTAAACCATAAATCTAATACAAATATTAAATATGTTGATATATATAATAATAATAAAATAAAATAATAAATCCTAATTTTAATGGATAAATATCCTTATTTAAACATTCCTAATAGATAATCATAATATCTTAAATAAATTTTAATTATCTTAATTAACTATTGCCCCATATTCTGTCAAATTGTCTCAAAGTTTAAAAGAAAATATATCTGAATAATTTTTAAGTGTTAATGAAATTAATCTAGTGACTATAATTAAGATGCTTATTGAGTTAGTGAATATACATATTCAAATCCATCAAATTTGGCTCGCTTGTTTTAATGAATGGCAGAAATTTTGGCAACTTTAACGCATGAATTTTCTTCAAAATAAAAGAAACGAAAAGTAATCACGACAAATTTAAGGTGAATTTCGTTCCGTTAAATATATAAAATTGGCACAATTAACATTCCCACGATTTGATATAAAATATGACGACAAGCACGACTCAGTTATGCTTTAATTTTGTTGCAGTTGTAAGGAATGTGTGTACTGTATATATGTCATATGCACTCGATAGGCATGAAATGTGTTATCATGATATTGGATGAGACACAGAAGTGTTAGAAACTATAGACTCAGCTTGAAGTCGACGCATAGAATTAATAGATCGAGCTGGCATGTATCATTCGAAATTTTTGAAGTACGTACACAAGAATGCGTGATTGAACAGAAGGAAGAGTGAAATTCATACACTACATGTATAGTGAAGATATACAACAAAAAGACATCTCAGGTTTGGAGGAATGAAACGATGAAATGATTGGTGGCAAAAGGAGAATCGAAGTTGAGGGCGTGGCCTGCGTCCTCGATCACTGCTAGCTTTGCTTTTGGTTCCAAGTGCCTAAATCACCAACTTAATAAATTATCAACTCTTCTATTCACTTCTACATTAAACTCATCGTACACGCGCTTACCTTTGCAACTGATACGCATTTTATGGGAAACATTCTGTCCTTGTCGCCCCAAATTATCAATGTCTCCTTCATTCATTAATAACCACTGATTAATTACTCATCAATTTCGACGTTGATTAAGTATATAATATATTATTAGTATTTGTGTAACTATCAAAAGATTTGGACCTGACTTAAAATTCCAGGGTTTGAATCTGCTTCTCTGTTCAGCAAGTACTCTAGAATCTCCTGTTTCTCCTTCCTATTGTCCTTGAGCACCACCTAATTATAATAACGATATAAGTGCAAATCATCAATCAAACAAATTAGTCCATCATAAAAAATAATTAATAATTATGAATCTAGAATAGAAAGCTTTGATTTTACTTTGATGGCCTCTTGCAGGATAAAATCCGGCAGCCTCGTAAGCCAGTTAAATCTCTGCAAACACAAGTTCAACAAACATCGAAGATCCTGAGGTTTCTCTGGCACAAGCAATTCCAATGGACTCCTTCCAATCTTCTTCAAATGCTCCATCTTCTGTTCTTCTGTATAACATATGCCACTGCTCACAATCACGACCTTGTCCACTTCCCTAGGGTACATTTCCCCCAATTCTATAGGACACGTACCCTCCATAACTAATTCCTGCCACACTGAACTTATACACACCCAATTTCTTCATCCCTTCTGCTACGCATATAGCTTGGAAGACGTCGGACCGGTCGGTCTGGCCGGTGTTGGAGTTGCCGAAGAACAACAGGTCCGGCACGAAGAGGTTCAGTTTCCGGGACAGGTGCCAGATTTGGCAGCAGAACTGCCACCGAGACGATCCGCCGAAGCCGTGGATAAGGGTTAGGTTTGGCTTGTTTGGGTTCAGTTTTGTTGGAACCCAGAATTGCATGACGGTTTTGTCGTCGTCGAGCGAGATCATGCATGGGGACAAATTGGATAACCTGAAGTTAAGTACCAAGAGAAGTTCAAAACCTGAGATTAGAACATGTACTAGGTTTGATGCTAAACGGAGAAACCAATCTAGGAGGTGTAATCGCACTATTGTGTTGTAGGAAGAGAGTGTTAGGGTTAGCATGAGACTCACAGGATGCATGTTTTTGCTAATAAATTGAAGACAAGAGAAAGGAAAACACAAAAGCTTGAACCAGATTCTGGTTCTGAGCTTCATTTTATGAATACAATTAATAACGTTCGTGTTGTCGCAAACTCAAAGTCGTCTTTAATCTCGCTCGGCTGAATCAAAATTCAAATTGGTTTTGAGCAGTGAATGAAGAGAAGAAAAGATCAGATCTTGCACATTCTATTGGAGAATTCTCAGAATCATGTATGTTCATTTTATTTTTTGTGATTAAATTTGTTTTTATGGATTAAATGAAAGGCACATACCTACCATTTTTGTTGGCGAGACAAATTTGTACGGGTCTTCAGATCTTGTAAATCTGACGATGTAACGACTTAGCTATTTACGTGTTGTGCTGGGTACGTAGTATTAATATAATGCTTTAACAAAAAGTTTGTGATTTTTTTTTTGTAGAGGCGTAGATTTTATTTTAAACATATATTTTGAACATTGCTTTTAAAATACATGTTATTTCAAAATACATGTTTATCTTGAAGTTAGCTTTTCTCCATCTCTTTTTCATTTCTCATCTCATCCATTGAATCCATTTTAAAATGATTGAGATTTAATTTTTCATAAAATTAATTTTTTATTTTTTAATTATAATCCTATATCTTGAATTGCAGTTTGGATGAAATTAATTATATTTTAAATTTATTTATGTATTTTTTATAAATTTTATATTTTAATAATAATTTTATGAAACATTAAATTTTAATGAATTCAATGGTTAAGATGAAAATCAGAGAGAAGTCAAATCTATTTATCTTTAAACATGTATTTTGATTGATTCTCTAATAATGCGACATATATGAATTAATTTATCAGCCAATGACAAAAATTCACTAGTCATTATCACATGTGTTTTGTGCATGGAAATAAGATCTATCATTTCTTTCCATCTGTCTTTTTAAAAAAATATTTAAGAAAATTGATTCCATATATTGACTTAAAAAAATAATCATTCTTTTTTTTTTTAATTTAACTTTTTGACTAGGTTAAATTTAAATATTATTGAGCTCAACTAAAAATAATTTTTTTAAAAAATTTACATTCACATGTATTCAAATTCAGAACTATATAACTAAGCAGGCATAAGTTGTTGTACTATAGGACCAACACCTGGTATTAGAAAAGAACATTCATTCTAACATATTATCAGTCACAAGATTATATCAAGTTACTTTATATTTAAAAAAGAGATAAAGAAAACTAGAAAAATGACGAACCTAAAGTTTTGGTTTTGGAAACCAAGAGGTGGCGAAGCTGATTCAGTGACGATCAATTTGCGTTTCTTTTTCTGCAACACGGTGTGCCAAAAGTATTCCAAGAGCTAGAGGTGAGAAATGGATGAACCTAACTCATATGAACTCAATCTTTATGCGCCAAGTTCATAAGAGTTAAGTCTTTAAGCTTAATTTTTTAAAAAATTATCTGATTTTTAAAGTCAAGCTCTTATTTAAAGAGTTTAGGGATGGGCTCATAAACTCTTTATTAATATTTTTTATTTTTAAAATTTTTTTAAAATTAAAAATTTCAATTGTAACATTTCATTATTTTTAAAATACAAATTATAATATTAAAAACTTAAAAATAAATAATAGAAAATCAAATCTTAAAGTATAAACATATATTTAAAAGTTTAAATTCAATTTAAAAATAAAAATATTTTTTTAGAGTTAAAATGAAAAGGAGTTTAGAAGGACCGACTGAGCCCTTTTTTTAGAGCCTATTAGGGTTAGGTTTCAAAACTCAGTTTCTTAAAAAATAATATTTTTTTAAACCCAAACTGTTATAAAAATAGGCGGCTCGTCAAATTCGACTCTTATTTCTAACTTTAATTGGAGCGTACACCAATAAAAAGGTATCATATATATAATATCAATAATTTATTGTTAAAATATACTTCATTCATCCTAAATTAATATTTTAAAATATAAGATATTTTGATAAAATAAAGTTTTATTAATGATTTTTTTAATATTACATTTCTCATATATTCCCTTTTTTAAATATTTTTTAATAAATAGAATATTAAATAAAAAATATTTTAAAAATTTGTACTTTTTTTCGAAAAAGTATGCTTGTAAAATATATTTGTGGGACGGGAAGAGTTTTGAATATTTTGACAAACACTAAAGGTGAATGTTTGTTTTTCGTAAAAATATTTCCTCTCCGCAAATTAAGTAATTGGGTATCATTACAGTCACAATTCAAAGGTGTTCTCCAACGGCTGGAAAAAGAGGAAAAAAGAAAAAGAAAATGATGACAAGTGTTGGATTTTCTATGGCCCAATAGTATAGAAGAAGGCACTCATAATCATAAAGATACAAAATAAGGAAATATGCCTTACTTGCGCGCCACTGAATCTCCTTTTTCCAACTTGTTTTCCCAACTTTACGTCAAATTTGTCGATTCCTCAGTCCCTTTGATTCTGCTTTCAACTTTTTGGACGGCTGTTTGTCTCTGTTTTGCCACCCCAACTCCACCTGGATTCCTTAGCCCATCTCCCCATAACCATAATCAATCGAATAAAAAAAATGACAAAATAAAAAAAATATTAATTTTCATTCTTTTATTTTTTCTTAATTATTGAACAACTTAATTTTTATAATTTTTTAATTTAAAATAACTTAATCGTTGTAATTTTTTAATTTAATGTAACTCAATCCCTACAATTCTTTAATAAAGTATAAAAATTAAGTTGTACTGAATTAAAATTCATGAATTAAATTAATAATTAAAAAAAAATTTAAGAACTAAAATTTATTTTATCTCAAACTTCAATTAATTTTTTTTTGACCAGCTTACTTCAATTAATTAATCTAAAACATAATCATCTCAAACACAGAATAAAAAATAGTGTAGAATATAGACCATTCTCATTAAACACTGCATCTTCTTTGAATTTTAGTCCACTAAATGACGAGGATCCTACCCCACACAAATTTTTTAGTATGTGTATCATAATTAAATCTATCACCTTTTCTCCACTATAAATTTCTGGCTTCAGGTTACAATTTTGATCAGCGAGCTTCTTTCTCCGGAGCCCATCAATGGCTAGCACCTCTTATCATGCATACTCTAGCCAGGGCTCTTCTCATAGGTCGTTGGCCATGGTGTTGGCTCTTGCATCAGCTGTGGTTTTGTCTCCATTGTACAACGTGAAGCCAAAGAGTGATGGAAGGTTCTACGAATCAAGATGGAGCTCTGGTTTTGTTCTGCCTATGGTTCTTGCTGGACTCATCATCGCTATTAGAACCAGCTCTTCTTCTTCATCTTCTCTGCTTCCATCTCCAGAACCATCTTGGGTCCTCAGAATCGGAACCTCTTCTTGGGGGCTTGCTGGGGTTTTGGTTATGCTCATCCTCGTTCTTTACTGGCAAGCCTCAGTCCAGGAGTTCTTCTGGAGATAGACATCAGAGTCGGAGATGAACATTGCTAGTATTGGAATTCGTCTCTGAAGTTGAACGATCTGAGTTTGAGAATTAACCAGAGAGATCTATGTATGGCTCTGCCTTCTTCTTCTTTTTGTTCACTTCTTGTGCTGGCTAGTAAGTTTTTAGTTGTGATTTATTGTAAGTTTTATGTAATAATATGAGAGACTAGAAGGTATATATATTTAGCAATTGAAGCTCTCGTTCTGTTTCAAGTTCCAACAGCAGAATATAGACTAATCTGCTAAGGTCTGATATGTATATAACGTGAATGTGTCATTGCTGCTCCCCAAAATTTTAGATTTAAGTTCATATATAAATGAACTTTGAGCTTAGTAATCATGAGATTTCAGACTGCCAAATTGTGGCGAAGTTGATCCGCACTAGAAAACATACAACAGTGGTAGAATCATCAGAGACAAGAAATAATGCTAGAAAGAAAACAATTACCTAAATATTCAAGTTAAAAAGCATTTTCAATGAAGTATTGAAAATCTAGCATCTAGCTCAACTTAATTAATTGAATCGTAAATCATTAAATCAATATCTTAACTAGTTAAATGAAATTCTTTTTGATAACCGATCTGACCATAATTCAACCACATTTTAATCATTAATCATTAAATTAATACTTTAACTGATTTAATGACCAATATATTATTTTCCAGAGAACAAATCCAAAATCTTCCGACATGCACATGTAACATGGAATAATGGGTTTTGTCTTAAACGATGCGAAAGTACATTTGATGATGAGCACTTTGGTCTTCACCCTTCACATAATATGCATAGAAGAACGAGACTTCCAAAATTTGATAACAATTGCACACTCCAAATATGCTAAAGACTTGAATTGGCTAGCAACCTCAACAACATGCCATTACTTAACGCAATTGCAAGCCAGAAAATGAAGCTGGTGATTCAAATCCTCCACCGGAAGAGAGAGACTAGCAATATAATCCTCCTCAAGCAGCGGCTTTAATTGTACGTGGATCTTCTCAAATTTCAAAGGTGATCGTTTTCATTATTTCTTTGAAGTGAAGGCACAAGTGTCATTTCACATCAATAAAGTTGTCCTTTTGTTTTCATTCCTTCACAATGTGCCCAATAACTCAAGGAGTTTTGCTCATCAGTTCGGCGACTGACACCAATATAATGCAAAAATGCAATTAAATCAAAGACATCAAGGACCAATTATTGACAAAAATCTTAAAGCTAAATGGAGGGTAACAAATTTCAGATACACTATCAATCATCCAGAACATAATTGGATCAAGTTAGCAAGTCCCTAGTGAAAAACATTTACAGCCACATTCATATAATACAACAATTATCATCACATGATAAACTGGCATACATGCAAACACTAGGTCAGCTTCTAGAGCCAACCATGCCACTAGCAGCAGCAGGCACTAAGCTTGATATAGTTAACCCTCTGTCATACATACGCTGGATTTCTTCCCGATACTCCGTTAGCGACTCATCAGGTATGGCTGGAGAAAGCTCCACCACGTCTCCCATCTTCAGCTTGCATGTTGGATCATTTACAGGCTCTTGGTTCAGCCTCAGCCTCAATTCATCCTTCAGTGAAAGTCTTTGTGGGGCCCATCTAGAGCTTCCTCGCCCAGCTATTTCCAGCAAATCCATTACTGTCGAGTTCGCAGGTAACTCCTGGACAGACATCTGCACATGCATCCAGACACACAACTGATACTTCAGAGATGATTAAATACTAAAGTGGTGTGTCAGTGTCCTCATCCCCTAAAGTATTTAGGAAATCTGAAGAAAAATTCGACATGAGATGTGCAAACACAATCTTTAGCCCTATATTATTTTATACTAGCCACATTTTCCCGTGAATTACATAAAATATGAAAAATCAGTGACACCATTCATGGCAATGGAAGGAAGAATGATAAAACTTGAAGTTAGGATGCATAAATTTGGGTCAAGAACCTTATCATTCTCGATCATTATTACAAAAACAGGACCATCCTGACCAGAATGAGGTTTGTAGCAATACGGACAATCATCAGCATGAAAAGGAAATTTGCACGCTGGCTTGATTGAATCAGCATGTCCAGCAGATGAAGAATCTTTACTCATTGTCTCACAATGCCAAGTTACAATATATCGAGCCCACTCAACCATCTGAAGTACAAATGAAGAATGCTGCCGTTCACCTTCCTTGTATCTCCAATGAGAAGCGAATCCAAATTCTGCTTGCAAATGCATCTCTCTCGTCCTAATTTGCACTTCAATCGGAACTTTGACATCACCCATCACTACGGTATGCAGAGATTGATACCTATAAATTACAAAATCAAAGTTAGATGAAAAGTAGATAGCAATATGTAAATATAGAGCATAGACCACGGTTCCTGAGATGACATACCCATTGAACTTGGGGTGACTTATGTAATCTTTCAGCTTTCCAGGCACCTCAGACCACAAACGGTGAACAACTCTTAAGGCTCTGTAACAGTCTTCCTCCTTGTCAACAATCAAGCGCAGCCCATAAATATCATGGATTTTATCCATAGTTAGCTTCTTTCTGCAAATAGATAAATCAACAAGTATTAAGAATCTTAACCATACGCACAAGATAGTTCAGCATTTCTAGTACTAAGGATGCAATGTGTGTTCATTAGCGAAATAGTTGTTTTGTACAGCTATATGGCGTAAAACGAGAAATTGCCTCATCTCTAACAATGCAAACAGCAATTCGACATAAAAATGAGAATTCACATCAGCAACAATTATCTTCTATCCCACGACCAAAAGTATCTAATTTAATGCTGTTTAAACAATCTTTCCTTTACCTGCCAAAAAGCAAAATCCCAAGTATTATCTGTGCACAATTTCCTAACATGCAAAATGGAAGATAATAAGCACAGCTCATGCAGCTAGACAGATGGAGGACATGAGAGATGACGTACTTCAACATTTTGCAATAAGTGCTGTACAAGCTCTTATGGCGCCCAGATAGGACATGATAAGAAATGCCTTCATCTTTCAATGCTTCTTCTAATTTCACTATGGCAGAAGTAATCATGACATCATCAATTGGCTCCACAAGTTTCAATGATAGCTCCTTGTACTGGTCTGGGTTAAGATGCTTAAAACACCAATTCTCTAATTGTTCCTTCCAAGTAGATATTCCCAAGCGATTTGCCAGAGGTGCAAAAATCTCCAAGGTCTCCTTTGCAAACCTTTGTTGCTTGGTTAAAGGCAGTGCGTCTAGTGTCATCATATTATGTAACCGATCTGCCAATTTAATAAGGACAGCTCTTGCATCTGCCATGGCAAGGAACATAGTATGCAGGCGGTCTGCCTCAGCTGATTTACTAGCAGTATTATTATCCCTTGCAAGCTTGCTTAAGTGACTCAGCTTAGAAACCTGAAATGTCATAAAGATTAGTGAGAATCTTCAAAAGGGTTACACCATCAAAATTCCAAAAGTAAGGTACAGCCATTTCAGGTATAGATTCCAAAATTGCAAGCCACAAAATCAAAACTCAAATTTAGTCAGCGAACTGGATAATAAAGCATTATAAATATCCTTAGGTGCTAGAAAGAAAGAATAAGAAATTCAACCCTAAACATATTGAAAGTTGCATTGCTATTACAACCATGTAAAAAGCATAAAGCGAGCACTTGCATGCTGCCATGTATGAGAAACAAGCCTAGGTTCTATCAGTGGAACTCCTTAAACCGGTTCACAACAGTACCAATTGCGGCTATCTCACCCGCCAACAGTGAGAAGAGTTCAATTCAGCTAAAACCTAAAACCAAGCTACTTTAGACACCTTGTGTCAATCAAAAGAATCTAAGCCAATTAAAGTATGAAGAGACCGAGAGAGAGGAGGGGGGGGCCTAGCACAATTTTCACCAAGGTCCATCCATATTAAGTTTGACCAAATCCTACCCATCAAAAACAACTTACAAAATTGATAACTGCACACTGCAATAAACTTGATATCGTGAACAAACAAGAGGTTAATTTAAATGCTAATTTAGAACAAACGGATTAAAAATACAAAATTGCAGTACATCTAATGTTAAGGATATGAATTAGAAGACATGCTCCTCACCCCTTCAACTAAATCGGCAACTCCAGAACCAAACATCCTCAATAAATAATCGTACGTCATAAAGGAATCATCAATGGTGTCGTGCAAAAGCCCTGCAGCAACTACTGTGGAATTAGCACCAATCAAAGCAAGAAGCACTGCTGTTTCCACACAATGCTGCAAATATGGATCACCAGAAGCTCGTATCTGCAGTAAAAGGACTCAAAACCTTTAAATTCACATAATTAAAACCACAAAACATATATTCTAACTATAAAAGTTTCTACTTACCTGCCCTCTGTGGGCTTGCTCGGCCTCGTAAAAAGCCCTAATAACGACGTCTTCACAAAAGATTTTGTGCCTCAATTGCGCACCTCGCAGCAATTCTCTAGCGTATGGCTCAGAACTACCCCCAACAAATACATCTTCGAAATTGAAGGTCAGTTCATCCTCTAACGTAGATGAAACCAAATCTAAGCCACCACGAGAAACCTCGAGACTAGGCGAATCATAATCTAAGCAGGACCGTGATGCATTTCTCACAAATCCATCGAATATTTTACATGTCCCACCTCGAATTGAGCTCTGATAACTCATATTCCCACTGACAGCACTACTGCTGCACGAAATTGGTCCTTGGAGAACCGAAACTGGACTCGGATCCCTTTTCCAAGAAGACCCAGCAAACTTACTCGGAGAATATGAAAAGGAGCAGCTCAATTCTTTTAACTCTTCAACTCTGTCGTGCCTCAAAGTGCCCAGTTCTTCCCCTGCCCCGGATAAGCTCGATAACGGAGCATGCTTCACCGCCGGCGAAGAAAACATGCACGAAAGGCCACCCATTACTGACTTCTGCGGCGTGGATGCCGTATTCGAAGACGTCGAAGAAGATCGAGACCCCAATTCTAAGTCGTAGGTCGCATGCCCATTGATCTGGCAGGAGTGCGGCGTCGAACAAACACTGCTTGGAGGGCTTCCGTATAAGGCTATAGTCGAAACCGCCATGCTCAATAACCCCGTCGAGTTGAACAACTTGCTTCTGCTTCTTCTACAGTTGGGTTAGGGATTCCAAACTCAAGAGGTATAAAAAAATACTTTTTTTAAGATATACCCGAATAACCGACCAATTTTGCAGAATAACCTAAATTCTTTGAGAAACCAGGGAGCAATTTCCGCAAAGCCCGATGATTTTCAGATTCCCAAATTACTTTCCCCCTTTACACCGACCTAGCACTGTTCAGAAACACCGAGTTTCAGAAAAGTGATACGACCAGGAAAAAAGGAATTTACTTGCCTGTCTCACTGTCTGTACAGAAAGAAAACTGACGGAATCAAAGATCCAAAATATGATTGAAATGTGTTCTAAAGGAGTGGAAATGAACAAATGTATTTATTTACATGATAATTTCAACAGAGATGGAAAATATATGACAAACAACGAAGAAAGAACCCTATAGAGAGGAAAATTTACAAGACATTAACCCTAACTTTCGAGGAAAGATAGCAACTTAACAAGAAACGGTGAGAAATGGAGAAAAGCAGAAAGGCTGCGTCTTGTACTTTCAGTGGTTCCACTTCCAAAGACTCGGCCTTCTCTGAGGCCGTGGAAAGGAAATATGAAATTACTGAATTGCCCATCCAGCATAAACTGATTTATTCCTGTATGCCATGGATGATTTCGGGATTTCAGCTCAATGCGATGAATGTAGGCGTTCGGTGAGTTCGTGGCTGAGAAGACCGAGAAGATCAGAATTCCGAAGGTGGATAACAAGTTAAATCAAATTATTGGGAGAATTTCATGGCTTTTTTATCAATATGCTACGAAAAATCAGAAAAGAAAAAATTACCTTAGGCAAGTGGAGTTGGAAGTTAAAGGTTAAAAGCATGTCTGATGGATTGATAAAAATGAGATATGATTTTTAATTAATATAATCATTTATAATGTAAAAAGACTTAAATGTCTTTACCAAAAAAAACCTCACCCACCCCCTTAAACAGCCACAATCCCCTGTCACCTCAACACAAACAACCACTAGCCAGCCATAAACAAGATAACGAGAGGTAAGAGGAAGAAATCGAACTAAATGCAAAGATAGAAATGAGACCAAAGGCAAAAATCAAAGATCCAAAGTCAAATGCATCATTCAAAATCAAAATTGAAATTCACCATTCAAAATCAAAATCAACAAACCAATCATTGTTGTCCAACATCGTCCTCACCATTTACCAAATCTGACATCCACCATTTATCATATTAGTAATTGAGGGAGATTGTTGAGATCGAAGAACGTGGAGGAGGAAGCGATACTGAAAATCAAACCAAATGCTCAATGCTGGTGGTTGCCGAAAGGGAGAAGCTAAGATCGAGGAAGCTTGAGAGAGTCGAAAGACCATCAAGGAAGAAACGATGTGTTGCCACTCATGGTTGGGAGTTTCCATCGCCTTTCACTCTTGTTGATCTCAAAAAGGTACTCTCCAGTCATGGTTGGGATTTGTTGCTGTCGGTCAAGCACCCTCTCATCTTCCTTTGTGTCACCGTCAATGAAGATTGTTAATGAGGTTGGGTCCTCACAGGGGAGAATATGAGTGCAAAAAAAGGTAAAATGAGAGAGGAAATGAAGGTCGAATTCAATAATTCCTAGGAGTCATGTTGTTCCATCAAAATTGATGGAATTGAGGAACCTGGATCTTGCATACCAAATAATTAAAAATGAGTTTCATTTCCAATTCCACTTCCCTCTTCCCAATTCCATGTTGCTAAACGAGCCATAAATGCTACATTATAAAAAGTATTTACCTATAAATGCTATACCAGAAACCATTCAGATTAAAAATGAATTTATAGTTGTGAAGAACTTGTCCAGACTAAGAACCAATTTTACTACAAATGTCTTGCGAGGATGTTCTGTTTCCCTTCCCTATTCTCCTTGTAACACTCCCAAGTCCCGTGTGATTCATTTGGCAAATCTTTGCCTTTGTGCCTTTCCTTTGTCATCACGTGAAGCTTATAGAGAATAGGCTATATAATTCCCTCTTATTTTTTCAAAAAGATCATTATTATTTATAAATTATACACAAAAAGTTACAAATATTTCTAAACTTTATTATAAATCAATTATATCTCTTAACTTTAAAGATTTCTTACTTACTACTCTGTCATTTTCTCACCATTAATTAATAGTTAGTGAGTTCCACATTAAATTTTTTAATTTTTTTATTATAAAATATTTGAGTGAAGGGGCAAAAATGACTCTTCTAATAGAAGTTGAGGGGCAAATATATAATTCTTAACTTAATAAAAAATATTAAAAAAATAATAAGACTCACTAATGACTAATGAACGTTAAGTGTTTTTATCGTTAGGATAATAATGGAGAGAATCTTTAGATAGAATTGATTCATAATTAAATTTAAAGATATTTGTACCTTTTTGTATATAATTTAAGGATAAAAATAACCGTTAATTCTATTTTATATATATATATATATATATTGTATTTTTATTTTATGCGCCAGTTTTTTTAAAAAATATATATGATAATTAAACATGTGTACGGTTGGGCAATGCAAGGGACAAGAGCTCTTCGTTACAGCTAAACATAATATGTAATATAAAATAACATACGTAGTTCAAATTGGAATTTGCTCTAACTCTTCCTTTAGCAAAAAAAGCGACAAGGGACAATAACAAAAATAAATAAATAAAAAGATAAAGCGATAAATCATCAAAGATTACATGCCTCTGTTTGCTTGCATGCGAGAACCTGCTTCTTTCCTAAATTGTAATTAAGGAGAACAAACAATTGTGAAACCAAACATGTTCAAATTAATATTAAGCTTTTAGTTTTATAAAGGGGAAAATTACATCCAATCTTCTCAAATAAATTAATCATAGAAATGTACTAACAAATCTCATTCGAAAAAAAAAAATAAGTCATATTTTTATTTTAATAATAATTTATTTTATATTAATTTTTATCTGTAATTAATTTTTTTAAAAGAGGCTGGATGTGATTTTTTTTAATAATAAAAACATTGGTAATGATAACAAGTGGATGAAGCATGAAGCACGTGACTCTTGTTTTTTTCAAATCAGAATCACATGCATGCATACATGTATGTATGTCACATATCAGCCCCCCACACCAACTTCCTTGTTCTCTCAGATCGGCTTCCTCTACTTCTCTTGCTTTTGGTTTCTTTGCCTCTCATCCTTCTTTTTTCCATCAACGTATATTTTGACTATGTTTGATTTGGAGCAGTTTAATTCATATTAATAATTCCTCAAGCTGTTATTTTCTGATTTGCTTGTTCATTAATTGGTTCTATTTTAATTTTTTTTTTGGTGGCGAGCTCTTAATTAATTTCCCCGGATGTTCTCAACCGGAATAAGACAAGGATCGACAACGGGTCTCTTGCTTAATTTTTGTTTGATTTGAGTCCTACCTTTTTTTCATAGTCTCATGTCGTATCCTATTTCTAATCTCGTCCTTAATTCCTTAAAATTCAATGCTTCGTGCCAAATACAGGCCAGTGAAAGGAAACCTCTGCATGCATGCAACCACCCCAACGCGCACACATATGTACAGCTGCTCAATCAGCCACGATCGCTCCATAAGAGGAGGGAAATCCAAGAATGGAGGAAAAGCGGCAAGAACTGTGCAAAGCAGTGCTGGGACAGACATGGGATGAAGTTGCAGAGTTATACAATTGTCATCCACATCTTCAGGCCACAAAGATCACCAGATCCAAAGACACTGCACTGCACGTGGCTATTAGTCTGGGACCACCAGAAGACAAGGTTGTAAACCTGGTCCATGAGATTTGAACGCACCAACGTTAACGACATCCAAGTAGCCAAGCAGACCTTGCAAGCAATATATGAACGACCAGCAAGACACTCCTCTGCACTGTGCAGGCTCGTGAGGTTCTGTTTCTGTATGTCAGCGAATATTATGCGTCCATGAAGCCTTGGCTTGTGAGCCTAACAAGGAAGGAGAGATGCCTCTTTTCTTATGCCGCTCTTGGTAATCAACATTTAGCATCTGAAATCCACTTTTCAATTTTTTAGATGTTAAAAGTTGTTTGAGTAATTTTTAAATGAGCAAAATAGGCTTTTTAAATATAGGTTGAGATGAGGTTTGAAAGTGAATTTGCCAACTCTATTTTCTATTTCTAGTGATTTTAAATTGCAAATGAGAGTTGAGAGCAATTATAAGGGAAATAATTTTATGCCTACTTTTATAAATGATCATGGTATTCTTATTATCATAAATCAATATTCTTTTTAATTATTGCATATTTAAAAACACATCTCAAAAGTATAAATCATCATTAATTTAAATAATTTTTCATTTATCAGATTGACTTTTAAAAAAAAAAAGTATCTAAATATAAATTTTATTATAACACTGACTTTTGTTAAATAACCTTTTATCAAATGGACTTTTAACAAACTGAAGACCAAATACACACTTAGTCATTCTTAGTGGCTGGAAACATACCTTTCATTATCTTCATTCTGTTTGCAACAAGATGCAGGAAACCGACACAGCATTGTTGAGTCCATGGTGAAGGTCTGATGGTGACGCCGTGCATACTTCATTGCACCATTCAAAGAGAATGATTTGGTATGTAATTAGTACTTATGAATTAATTATGTAGAGAAAATAAAACTGTGTGTTTACTCTATATTAATGAGCATATGCTCCAGCCCAGATATTGCACTTAAGATCATTCATCTGTATCAACACTAGAGGTCGCTAGTGTTAGAAGCAGTGATGAAGTGGCACCCCTTTATTCCCCTTGATATTATCAGAACACGTCACATAACATCATTATGATAATTAAGATTAAGAAATTCTTTATAATAGGTTATCATAATAATGAGGATTTAAAGAAAAAGTGTTCAAAAGTTGAAATTCTAAGAAATCTTTTTTAAAAAGATATTTGAGATTAAACCATAATTAAAAACATACACAAAGAAGTAACGAATGCATGAAAGTAAAATCCATACATTTGAACATTAAAGGAGGTCAAATTTGGACCTTGCTTAAAATGCCTTGTTTCCTGTGGTGAATGGCATGGATGGGCCAATTCTATCAATGTGTAATGCATTGTAGGGATAGACAACACCTCGAAACTAACTTTTAGAATAGTTTTGCCATGCGACATTTAACTGGAGTGATTCAAGTGTCCATACACAACTTTAGAGTCACCTAACTATCGGCGCTAGTATCACAACAAAACTCTTTATCATTTAAAAGTTAAATACCCGAGTATAAAACGACCCTTTATCCATTCAATACTAGCCTAAGGATGTCCTAATCCACCAACCAATTGCTAATAACTCTAGGACCACCTTAGACAAACTCAAATAAGCCACAATCACTACTAGAAAAATGAAATTTAGTGACAGATAAATCCCTCGCTAAATTGTGTTTTAACGAGAAATTTTATCTCTTGCTAAATTCATAACTAAAAAACAACTCGCTAAATTTAACGAGAGATCATATTTTACTTGCTAATTAGTGAAGGCCATATCTCTCGCTAATCCCTCACTAAATATACTTATATTTAAAAATGATAATGTCACATCACCCACCATATGTGTGTGAGCTTATGACATGTTACTAACCAACTGCCAATAGTTACTAATAACCTTATGCCTCATTAATTGCCATATCATCTACCATCTCGTGCCCCATTACCTACCATGTGTGCAACAATTTATGACGTGT